TACCATTATCATCACCGTTATTATCATCGCTATCTTGTCATACAATCATCAATATTACCAAAGATCAATAAGACCATTCGTCAACCAAGTTATGTTATCAAGGTATTACGGTCGAGTTACGTCTCACGTTCTTTTGATTTCATGTTCAGATCCMAAGTTAACGATGCGAAACCAGCCCAAGCTAAGGCGAAGGTAACACACTTTGAGTCTTTCGTTGCTTATTTGCCAGTCGGCCATTTATGTAAGACTACGTCAGTGCAATGTGTCCACRCAAKTCTGTTCGACCTAGCCATGCCCTATTTTCTATTGGTTTCTTTACTTTTTTAGGTAGAATAAAGTAAAAATCCGCGTATAAGAACGTAACATTTAAGAACCTGTTTGGCAAAAATTTCATTTTTAAGCACCCTTCACATAAGAACCATTTTAGGCTAAAATTCTAAAACAGGTTCTTATTTCGAAAAAAAAAGGAAAAAATAATAATCTTCTCAAGTCGTGATGTGGGAGGGGGGGAGGGGGTGTGTGGCTGCATCACGGCTAATGTTTCTTCTCATTTTCACGACTCACGGTTAACCCCATTGAGACTCTTTTTGGGAACACTACTCCACAACTTCATTTTTTATTCATATTTTTGAGTTAAACCCTTTATTGATTAAAAACCTTTGCCTTCAGGTTGTCACATCAAGCGAACCAGGACCAAAAAATATGATGTCAACCGGATATAGGATTGGTATTCTTTATACGTGAAGAGTTTTAAGACTATGACGTCATCAACCAGTGGCATGACGTCATATTGTGACGCAAAGTGTATTATAACGATTTAGTAATTACGACATTCAAGTATTAGTTTTAAGTCTTGAGTTAATTTAGAACAATGCACACTGTGTATCAACGTTTTAAAAAAAATCCAATGTAAAAAATGATGAATTTTGCGTTAACTTCTATGAATTTAAATTAATATTCTATTGAATTTAAATTTGGAACGCTGACTTGATATAGCGTGTTGATTGTACATTCACAGTTCAATGTAAAAAATATTTTTAATTTCAATTCAAATGTGTAAGAATAAATAAATGCACAAAATTGTCTTCGATATCTGAATAAATATGACGCACTTAAATTATTCATTAACCCCTAGTCTACCGCTTCTTTTTGTAACCTCGCACCTATCCTGGAGTTTGGGGCCGATAATGATGATTTAACCAATCGATATCCTGTTTTGGAGACCTCTTTTCCAAACCCTCGCCGTTTTGAGTGCGCATAAAGGCATTGGTTAATCCATGACACGTGATTGTGACGTAATGTACCGCCGAAGCTCTCGGGAATGCGCGATCCCTCCATGCATTGCAGTAGTTGTTCTCGGTTTGATATTTGTACGTCGTTTAGTTCTCGTAGAAAGTTAGACAACACATTTATTGTTTTTGTAAACCAAAATGGCGGAGATATGATGAATGCTGTTTTCAGCTTGACTGGATAAATATTCTAAAATAAAATAAATACACAATTCAGTTGTCCCTATTGCATAGGTCCCCTCTCTCGTATGAGCCTTAAATAAGAACTCTACAAAGTTCTCCAACGGCGACCATTGCATATGTACAAAATGTTATTTCTATAATGTTTATAAACGATATATTCTTTTTTTGTTTCTCTTTCCTACTTTTCCTTTCCTCTTACTTTACTTTTTCATGTAAAACTACAATATTCTAACATTCTTGAAAAAATAAAGTATTAAATCGAATATTACAGAAATGACTTTATGAATACCTTCAAAAAATTTAAGATCTTGACGCAAAGTCTCATATTGGAAGACTTGTATGAGACGTTAGTGAAATCATACAGTAGAATTATACCATTCTTGCGAATTACTTCACTGTGGAAAAATTGACAGTATCACTGCAGTTATACAAAAAAATGAAAAAAGCGACCAAGACCAGCATTGAGAACATTGTTGCCTATGTATAATTGTACAATTCAAATACAGCTGACTCGGATTCGAACCCTTGATCGTATGATCGAATTATATTATGCAAAACTTAAAACAACAACAACAACAACTGACCGACAACAACAACACCGACAACAACAACAACAACAACGACTGACACCGACAACAACAACACCGACAACAACAACAACAAGAACAACACCAACAACAACAACAACACCAACAACTGACCGACAACAACAACAACAACACCGACAACAACAACAACAACACCGACAACAACAACAACAATAACAACAACAACACCGACAACAACAACACCGACAACAACAACAACAACAACAACAGCAGC